AAGGATTTGCTAGTGGACTTAATAAACAAACTGTAGTCTGCCTTTGATTGGATGAAACCTTGTTCGATGATGAAATTTGGAAGTTTAGAGTACCATTGACGTGAAGCCTATTTTAATCCATATACGCTCTTGCGTAATTTACAAACTTTGTTGTTATTGATACCAGTATAACCTGGGGACAATTCCATATAAACATCTTCATCCAAGTCTCAATGCAGGAAGGCGTTATTCACATTAAATTGGCATAGATTCTACCCCTTAATTGCTGCTACTCCTAACAAAGTTTTGATGGTTACTAAATTCGCTATAGGAGAGAAAGTTTCATGATAGTCAAGTCCATCCTGCAGTTTGTATCCCTTCACCACAAGACATGCCTTGAACCTTTCAATGTTGCCGTTAGCATTGAATTTAATTTAATTTTATACACCTACCTGCATCATATGGCCTCCTTATCTAGTGGTAGATCAACTAAACCCCAAGTATCATTAAGCTCCAGTGCCTCAATCTCAGCTTTCATGGCAACACACCATTCAGGAGAATCATGGCGTCTTGGTAATTTCTAGGTTCAGAACAGTTTGTTATTGAGGTTACAAAAGCACGATAAAGAGTAGATAATTTATCATAGGAAATACTATTAGAGAGAGGGAAAATGCTACCTAAAGCATTCACTTCCTTCACCTTGTACAACTTTTGAGATGAATGAGGTGAAGAAACTTGCTGACATATGAAGTCTTGTGAGTGAGAAGGAGCCCTTCGAGTTCTACCAGACCTACGTGGTAGATGTGTTGTGACAGAATGATTTGAATCCAAGATATCAGGCTGTATGGCATCATGGCTAGCATTTATGTTGGAGTCAGAGGCTGGTGCATGAGCTGAAGTATTAGGAATATCAGGAAGGAAGGGATCTGCTTGATTATCATCAGTATGGTTAATGTGGTTAGCATTATTGAGGGGAGTGATAATAGGATCATTAGTGATACTTAAATTTTGTGTGAGATCGAGATGATCAAAAGGAGTATTACTGTTGGATTGAATGTTTTTGTAAGGAAAACTATTCTCATAAAAATGAATTTCTTTGAAACAAGAATTTTATCTGTCTCTAAATCTAATAGCCTGTACCCCTAGTTCCAAATGGATAACCAATAAATACACATCTTTTAGATCTAGGATCAAACCTATGTTTGCCATTGGCAAGTGTGGTAGCAAAAGCAAGGCATCCAAATACTCTTAGGTGAGTATAATTAGGTTTCATTTGGAATAGAATTTCAAAAGGACTTTTGTGATCTAGGATAGGGGTTGGTGTTCTGTTGATGAGGTAAACAACTATGAGTACAAAATCATTCCAGTACTTTAAAGGTAATCCACTTTGAAACTTTAAAGCCCTTGCAACGTTTAAAATATATTGATGTTTTCTCTCAACTACAGCATTCTGTTCAAATCTCTCAACACATGTTTTTTGGTGCATTATGCACTTTTTTAGGTAAAATTCAGTTATGTTGAACTCACCTCCATTATCTGTTCGAATGATTTTTATTTTGGCTTCAAACCGAGTTTTCTATCATTGTACAGAAGTTTTGTAAGGCTCCAGTAGCATCAGATTTTAATCTTAACATGTAGACCCATGTGCATCTACTGTAATCATCAATAATGGATAAAAAATATTTAGATCCATCTCTACTCAATTCATTACAAGGCCCCCAAATGTCATAGTAAATTAATTCGAAACATTTCTTTGTTTTATGCGTGCTTACATCAAAAGGTAACTTGTGTTGCTTTGCTAAGGGACAAATAGTGCAAAGATTAGAGATTGAAATTGTGTAAATATTGCTACCAGGATTGAATTTAGAATATGGTGAATGACCCAATCTGTAATGTCATAGGTTAAATTCTTCGTGCTTATTTGTAGTGGCTGCAGAAAATGAGCATTTGGCTTGGTTAAGAGCTTCTGACAAAGCTGTGGAAGAGGGTGGCCTTCTCAACATATGATACAGTCTATCCTTCACCTCACCCATCCCAGTCGTCTTCTATGTTGAAAGGTCCTGAATATAGCAGTAGTCAGAGAAGAAGACAAGGCAACAATTCAAAGATTGGGCAAGTTGTTTTGCAAAAATTAAATTGAATGTGACACTAGGAATGCAAAGGACATTGTGGAGAGTGATAGACTCTGAAAATTTTACGGTTCCTACATGTGTGACAAGAACATTTTCTCGATTCGGTAACGCCACAAAGTGAGATATATGAGCTTGAATAGATATAATATATGAGACTGAACAGACCATGTGGTCTATTGCTCTGGTATCCAAGATCTATGGAACATTGGAAATAATTTTCTGATGATGATGAAATGCAGTTAGGGATAGAGAGACCAGACACCTTATTGTTACCTTCATCAGACGAGGAAGCTAGGACAGGAACATTGTTTGATGAAAGAGTGAAGTGCTGAGAGTTTGTTGCTGGTTTGAGGATTGCCATTAGCTGAGAATACTGCTCATGGCTCAAAGATACTTGGCCTTTGTCCTTCGTCCTTCACTACTTCCTGATTGAAACTCATACCTGCAGAGGCAACAATGGCAGCAGATTTTCCCTTATCATTGAGCCTATGCCCTAGTGGGAATCCATTAAGCTCGAAGCATTTGTCTGCTCCATGTCCTGGCATTTGGCAATAGGTACAAACAGGTCTATTTGGATTTGCCTTGAAGCACCATTCAAGTGAATGACCAGTGATTTTGCAATGACTGCAATAGTACTTGTCCCTTTTATGTGATGAAAAGTTATGGCTACCTCCTTCTCTAAAATTCCTCCAGCTCAGAAGTGCCATGGAATCAGAATTTGTAGAGGTTAGATTGGATATTTCCCTCCTTTTTCTTCCTGTTGGACTAAGGAGTAAACTTCGTTTAGGTGGGTGAATGTTTTTATTAGCAGGATCTGAGCCTTAATCTTCTTATAGGCCTCATTTAGGCCCATCAAAAACTTCATAACATAGTCCCTTTGCTGGGTTTTGAATCACGATTTTCAAACCTCCACATGTACAGTTGGGGATGCTCTTATAATTCCACAGCTCATCCAACAGTATTTTAAGCTTGGAGTAGTACACAGTTACAGAATCTTGATTTTGCATTAAGGTGGTGATGTCCTTTCCAACTTCAAAAATTTGTGGGACATTTTGTTGGGAAAAATGCTATTGCAGGTCCAACTAAAGAAGGTGAGCAGTGTCAACATAGATGGTGCTGTTCTTAATGTCAATGGACATAGCAATTTGCATCCAGGTTATAACAATATCATTACATCTCAACCAAAGTTCCATCAATGGATCATTGGGATACTCTGGTTCACACAGTGTGCCATCAATAAAACCAAGTTTGTTTTGATCCTCAAGGCTCTCTTTATCGAACGAGCCCAGGAGTAGTAATTGCTAGAATCTAAAACATGAGTGACTAGCATAACATCACTTCCATCATTGCTACCAATATAGTAGGGACTGTTGGGATGAGTTAGATCATGGGGAAGAGCTGCTGAGTTGCTTCCACCAATTTGTAGTTGATTTTGACCTTGGTTTGGATTGGTGTTTGAGGAAAGATTTGTATTTCCAGAATTGGATTCCCCAACATCAGGCTCTGATACCATATTCGATTTGAAGAATATGAAATTTGTATGGTTGAACAGAGAGCTTTAAGGAGTAATGAAAATTCTATTCATTCTAATAATTATAATGTACACTGAGGACATGTATATATACAGCAAAAAAGAATTTTTCCTAACTAATTTACACAGATAAATGTAGAATAAATCAACTTGCTCAACAAGCAAAATTCTGACTAATTCTTTCTAGACTATTCTTCTGTTGCTCTGCTACAAAATTCACATGGTTTTGCCTCCTGCCAACTTTCCAGCTGAGATGTCCCTGTAAGTCCACATGGCTTGTTTTTTGTCAACGTTGCAGCTGAATCATCCTCAATCTTTAACAGTAATCGTATCATCCAAAACCATTGATGTTTTGAGCCATCGGTCATCAAAAAAAGGACGATGATGATTTAAGAGACAGAGATCCTTATGGAGGTGGAAACGATAGCGTACTTGAGAGGTTAGTGTGTGTCACCAGTGGCGTATCGTACCTCGATATTACTGTTGTGAACCAGCTCGTTGTCTACGGTTACTCTGCGCGGATTATTGTTGACAATAAAGGTCTGTTTCTAGAATTACTTCTCTTAAGGTTTGAAGATTACTTTTTATGGCCACTATTTCTTCTTGAATTTCGTCTATGTTTTTCACCCGTTACCATTTCATTTCTGTTAATTATATGCTTCAGGATTGCAAATATGTCCACATGTTTAATCTTTGATTTATTGTTCCAGATGTTTGCTTCTAGTCAATAAGTTAGTCCTAGTCTTTAGGATGTTGTTAGTGCACTCTCTAGATCATGGATTAGTTGCTTTGATCTCCGTGATCCACTCTTTTTCAGTTTTATTTTTGCATTATAAATGTAATGGATTGCTAATCAATAAAAGACAAAATCCCTTTGCTGTAATTGTGCTATTTTCTTCTGTTTACACTTCATTTTTCTTCTTCATCCAGATTATAGATTCTTTTAATTCTCTATTTTTCATTTTTTTAGAACCTACAATCTGGTATCAGAGATCATTTTCTTAAGGGATCTGTATGTAACAAAGGAAACAGAAACCAGTTTATCTCAAATTGCTCCTTCTGTCTTCGATGGAGAAAACTACCAGCTTTGGGCAGTTAGAATGGAAGCTTATTTGGAGGCTTTTGATCTATGGGAAGCTGTGGAAGAGGATTACGAAGTCATTTCGCTACTGAACAATCCCTCTGTCCCTCAGATCAATAGTCACAAAGAAAAGAAAACTAGAAAGTCAAAGGCAAAAGCAACTTTATTTGCTGCTATTTCAACAACAATTTTCACGAGAATCATGACTCTCAAAACAGCAAAAGAGATTTGGGATTATCTAAAGGAAGAATATGGAGGAGATGAAAGGATATGAGGCATGCAAGTGCTAAATCTAATAAGGGGATTCGACCTGCAAAAGATAAAAGAGGCCGATACAATCAAAGAATACTCAGACAGATTGCTTAGCATTGTCAACAAGGTAAGGCTTCTTGGTACTAAAATTGATGATTCAAGAATTGTAGAAAAAGTTCTTGTTACCGTGCCTGAAAGATATGAAGCTTCAATAACCACCCTGAAGAACACAAAAGATCTATCCAAGATTACCTTAGTAGAGCTATTAAATGCTTTGAATTCTCAAGAGCAACGGAGGCTTATGAGACAAGATCCTACTGTTGAAAGAGCCTTATCAGTCAAACACCAGGATGCTCAGAGGAACAACAAAAATAAGAATCATATGAGTCAAATCTCAAGTTCTGAGAGCCGTTCAAACAACCACACTCAAAGCAAAGGTAGAAGCTCAAAGGGAAACTATCCCCCTTGTAAACAATGTGGCAAATGGGACATCCTCCATTCAAATGTTGGAAGAGACCTGATGCAAAGTGTAGCAAATGCAATTAGCTTTGACATGAAGCTGTGATTTGCACAAGCAAATTTCAAAAGCAAGAAGAAGATGCCCAAGTAGCTGATCAAGGTGAAGAAGATAAGATGTTTGTGGCATCGTGTTTCTCAACAATGAGCTCTTCAGAATGTTGGCTGATCGACACTGGTTGTACAAACCACATGACTTATGACAGAACTTTTTTTAAGGAGTTAAAGCCTATTGGAATCACTAAATTCAGGATAGAAAATGTTGGCTATATTCCAGCAAAAAGAAGAAGAACCATTGCAATTACAACCATCTCAGGGACAAAATAATTTTTGATGTTCTTTATGTACTTGATATCGATCAAAATCTACTGAGTGTAGGCCAGTTAATAGAAAAAGAATTTAAAGTGTCCTTTGAAAATTGGTATTGCCGTATCCAAGATGCCACTGGACAGGAGATTTTACGTGTTAAAATGAGAGATAAATCTCATTTGACCCAACAGAGGAGGAGCACACAGCTTTTTCCACCAAATTCAGCATTACCGAAATCTGGCACAAAAGGATTAGGCATTGTCATCTTCAACGAATGCTAAAGATGAAGAAAAATGACATGATAAGAGGTTTACCAACTATGGTTGATCACTTGCCAAATTGCCATGCTTGTTAATTCGGTAAACAAAATTGGAAGCCATTTCTTAAATCATCCTGGAGAGCATCACAAAAGTTGCAACTAGTCCACACAAACGTGGGAGGACTTCAAAGAACACCATCACTTCAAGATAGCCGTTATTACATTCTTTTCATTGATGATTTTACAAGAATGTGCTGGATTTTTTTCTTAAAATTTAAGTAAAAAGTGTTTGGAGTGTTTTGGAAGTTCAAGAAAATGGTGGAAACCCAAACTGGCTACAAAATTCAAGTTCTAAGGTCTGATAACGGAAAGGAGTACACCTCAGTAGAATTTAATTTGTACTGTGACAAAGCTGGCATTGAACATCAGCTCACTGCTCCTTACACTCCAGAACAAAATGGAGTTAGCGAAAGGAAAAATAGATACATCATGAAGATGGCCAGATGCATGTTACTTGAGAAGGAGTTGCTAAAAAGGTTCTATGCGGAGATAGCCAACATAGCAGTATTTCTGCAAAATCGGCTTCCAAGTAAAGCTGTTAAAGATAAAACTCTGTTTGAGGCTTGGTATGGGTATATACCTTCACTGAGCTTTCTTAAAGTGTTTGGTTGTGTGTGTTTTGCCCATATTCGACAGGTCAAGCGGGACAAACTTCGCAAAAAAGCAATTCCAGGCATCTTTGTGGGTTATAGATCAGTTTTCAAAGCTTACAAAGTGTATCACGCTCAAACAAAAAAAATGACGATCACTAGAGACGTTCACTTTAACGACGACGAGCAATGGGACTGGGAGAATTCACAAGGAACAGGCAGACTTTTACAAGAATTTAAAGGTGATTCTCTTTAAGAGCAAACAATAGAGCAGTGTCAGAATTAATTGGAAGATGATCCTCCAATTAGAGGAACAAGACTACTTTCAGACATCTATCAGAGATGTAACGTGGCACTATGCGAACCTGCTGGACATGAAGAAGCTCTTAAAGATCCAAAGTGGAAGAAAGCAATGGAAGAGGAGATGTTGATGATTCACAAAATAAAACTCGGGAATTAGTCAACAAACCTGAAGGCAAAAAAGTCATTGGAGTAAAGTGGGTGTACAGAACAAAGCTCAATGCAGACAACTCCATCAACAAACACAAAGCAAGGCTTGTCGTTAAGGGGTATGCTCAAAATTTTGTTGTTGATTATTCTGACACTTTTGCTCCTATTGCTAGATTAGACACAATCTGATTGTTGCTAGCCTTAGCAGTCCAAAAAGGTTGGAAAGTGTTCTGGCTATATGTCAAATCAGCTTTTTTAGATAGTATTTTGCAAGAAGAAATATATGTGAAGTAGCCAGATGGATTTGTGGTGCAAGGTGAAGATGATAAGATCTATCTGCTCAAAAAAGCTCTTTATGGCCTAAAACAAGTGCTAAAAACTTGGTACAGCAAGATAGATGAACATTTGCTAAGATTAGGCTTCACAAAAAAGCTTATCCGAGGCCACTCTTTACGTTAAACAGAAAGGCACTTATGTTCTCAAAGTGTCTCTTTATGTTGATGACCTTTTGGTAACAGGAAATAATGCGCAAATGGTTGCGGAGTTCAAATAATAAATGATGCAGGTTTGAAATGACACATCTTGGACTTATGACTTACTTTCTTGGGATGGAGGTCAAGCAAAGCTAAAATGAAGTGTTCATTAGTCAGAAGAAGTATGCAAAGGAAATGTTGAAGAAATTTTCAGATGGAGGAGTACAAAGCATCAAACACACCAATGGGTCAAAAAGAGAAGCTGAGCAATGATGATGGTGCTGATAAAGTTGATGAAAGTTATTATAGAAGTTTGATTGGTTGCTTAATGTATCTTACAACAACAAGACCTGACATTCTATTTGTGGTAAGTCTCTTATCTCGATTTATGCATTGTGCTAGTGAAGTGCATTTAAGAGCAACAAAAAGAATATTAAGGTTTATCAAAGGTACCGTTGATTGTGGCGTCAAGTTTGAGAAGTGTCAGAACTTCAAGTTTGTGGATTTTCAGATAGTGATTGGGCCGGGTCTGTTGATGACATGAGAAGTACCTCAGGATACTGTTTCAGCCTAGGTTCAGGAGTTTTCTTATGGTGTTCAAAGAAGCATGAGATTGTATCCACTACAGAGGCGGAATTTATTGCAGCAATTGCAGCAGCAAACCAAGCTTTATGGCTGAAGAGAATACTATCTGATTTGCATACGGAGCAAAATGATAGCACTACGATTTTTGTTAACAATCAAGTGGCAATTATAATTTCTCAAAATCCAGTATTCCATGGGAAAACAAAACACTTCAACATCAAGCTTTACTTTTTGAGGGAGGTGCAGCAAACTAGAGAAGTAAAATTAGTTTACTGCAAACCTTAAGATCAGCTAGCAGATTTGCTTACGAAACCACTACTAGTTGGTAAGTTTGAGTCACTAAGGCAGAGGATTGGAATTTGGAGTGCCTAAAGCAAGGATGAGTGTTAATTATATGCTTCACGATTGCAAATATGTCCACGTGTTTAATCTTTGATTTATTGTTCCAGATATTTGTTTCTAGTCAATAAGTTAGTCCTAGTCTTTAGGATGTTGTTAGTGCACTCTCTAGATCATGGATTAGTGGCTTTGATCTCTGTGATCCACTCTTTTTCAGTTTTATTTTTGCATTATAAATGTAATGGATTGCTAATGAATAAAAGACAGAATCCCTTTGCTTCAATTGTGTTATTTTCTTCTCTTTACACTTCATTCTTCTCTTCATCTAGATTATAGATTCCTTTAATTCTCTGTTTTTCATTTTTTTAGAACCTACAATTTCCTTTCCTTTTTTTCCTCTAATCTTTCAATTTTAGCTCGTTTATCTCCCCCAGTTTTCTTCCTCATAATCTTCTTACTCCAATTAATCCCACTTTTGATGAAAGAAGTAAAACTAAGCAAAGAAACATTTAGTTTCTGAATTTCAATAATATCACTTTAGAAATTGTATGGTTGTGTGCAGTGGCGAATCTAGGATTTCGACTCAATTAGGGCGGTCGTTGATCGTTGGCCGTTGTCTGTCGATAATTAACGACCGTATAGCGATATCGTTTATTAATATTAAATTAAATAATATTAAAAATTCTTTGATCTATATGTAAATATACTAAAACGTAAAAATCGTATATTTATATTATATTATATTTCTATACAATCCGAAATAATATAAATTATATGATACATAAGACTTCTTTGTGTTATCAATACTTAACAAATCGTTTGCTTGGCTAAAAGTGGTTGAGAGATTAGATACACCACTGCAAAAACTAGATTAAAATTCAGTTGAAAAAATCATTCCATAATTAGTATGAGAATTGAACATTAATCAAAGATTAAACGTAATTAAAAGTAATTTTAAAATATAATTAAAGTTTGAATTTTCAATTCTTAACACCAATGCATCACAAATTATAAATTCCCCAATTTGTCATTTTTAATTTTCATGAATCAAATATTCACATTTCACGATACTCAAATTAATTTTTTATATCACAATTCACAATAGACAAATTCTCAAATAACATATAAATTAAAATTCAATACTCATAAGTCATATCTTATAAATTATTAAAGCATAAAATATTTAAAAAGAAAAAAATCAAAAAAAAAAAACATTTTGTAAAGTCTTAACATATATTATTTTGTTAAATTTAGATTTAAAATTCAACCATTACCATAATGGTTAAGCTTCCAATCATTCTAATTCTAGAAGTTATAGGTTCGAATAATTTCTTTAGGAAATTAATTTTGGTAAATATTGTAAAAATAAAAATTTTACACAATGAAATGGAGAGAAAGGAATCGAATCCAAAACTCACAATATATAAAAGGAAACTCTAACCAACTAAGCAGAAGAGAGGTTTAAAAATACAATAAACTACCAATTATATAACCTAAAATTTTTATCTATTACCAACAAAAAAAAATTCTCCCCGACGAATACAGCTAGGACGGCCGTCCTAGCTGGCCACATACTAGATCCGCCCCTGGTTGTGTGTTATTTTTGATCAACGAGGATTGGTTATAATTTATTGATCTGGGTTTTGAAATTTTGTTTTTGTTTATGCCCGTTGAGGAGTTTTATCCTAATTGTTGGATTTTCATCGGCTGTAATCTGGGTTTCTTTTTATCCATCCTAAGCTGCCATTAAAATTGGGAAAAAAAAAAAAAGGTTCTGGGTGTTGGGGGTGCTTATGGAATTTGCAGAATTATTGAATTCAACAATTGCCATGGAGCATGCTATGAGTGGAAAATGGAAGCTTGGGAGGAAATTTTCTAGTGGCTCATTTGGTGAACTTTATTTAGGTGCTTTTTTTATTTTTACATCAGACTTTTTAATTAAATGTATTTATTTTTCTTTTAGTTTTGGACCTTTTATGTTACTATAAAAGGATTATTGTTCATCATCATGGATCGTTTATGCCATTTGGTGAACTTTATTTAGGTGCTTTTTTTATTTTTACATCAGACTTTTTAATTAAATGTATTTATTTTTCTTTTAGTTTTGGACCTTTTATGTTACTATAAAAGGATTATTGTTCATCATCATGGATCGTTTATGCATGATCATTGACACGGGTGTGAACACACTGAATGGAGAAGAAGTAGGCATCAAGATGGTATGCTTCAAGCTTTTGACTTGATATATTGTTGAAGATGTAGAATCAATTGGACCTAAGATGGTATGCTTTTCTATCTTATTTCATTTTTGTCCATGTATTATTGTTTGTTACAAGAGCCTATAGTCATTATCTAGCCTGTAATTTCCCGATGCTCCTATGTCATACTTTTGGAGGATGGTAAGTTGATCATTTTACAATGTTTTAATGGAGAAAATAGAATGTAATGACTTTTGGAACAAAGAAAGGTCAATTTGAGAGCTCAAATGGCAAAATTGAAACAATAAAATTTGTGCAATGAAGGCA